TGTGTGTGTGTGTGTGTGTGTGTGTGTGTGTGTGTGTGTTAGGTTTAAAAATAGTGGGAAACCTCAGATTTTCTTTGGCTTTCACAGTTTTTTCATGATCCTGCAGCAGATTTGAAGCAGTGATGTTGATGCGCCACAAATTATTCATGGTTTGCAATGTCATGCACATTATGATCGCCTACATTCTTTAAGCTGGACTTTGAGCAGCAGGCAAAAATATTATTTCAACTCATCTTTCCTGCAGCTTTGTATTCTATTAATAATCTAAACATTCCATCTTAACATAAACCCTCCATATCTCAGAGACTCTCCTCGCTCCTCGCTCCACGCCGCCTTCCTGTGTGAACCCCAGTTATCTCGTATGTAACGTGGGTGTGTCGGCACGATTAAAGTGCAGATAAGATAGTGGAGCGGCTCGGTGGGCAGAGAGAGGAGCTTCTCTGATGATGCTCCTCTCTCCGGCCGTGGATCTGCAGCGTCCGCTCGCCTCATGAGACATCCACGTCTGGTGAACCCCTCCACCCCACACACCCCGAGGAACCCGAGTTTACTCCCACTGTGGTGAGGCTGCTGAGCTGTGGTACATGGGTTTGGACTCGGCACCAGGCCGCTCTGTGCACGTTTGTGCAGGGGTGGACAAAATAACCGAAACACCTCGTGATATAACGCAGCCAGCTTCTTCACAGCTGCATCAGAGTTCTGTACATGCTCGTGTGTTATCCGTCCCTGCTGTGTGCGACCGGCGGAGTCAGTGTGTGGTCCCTGGAAGTGTTAAAGCTGAGAGTCTTGTGTAGCGAGCTGGCTGTGGTTTGTGTGGCTTAGTGTCTGTCTGTGTGCGACTGTGTGTGTGTGTGTGTGTGTGTGTGTGTTTAAGCACGCCGAGTGCGTCCTCTGGCTGGAAGGGCGAGGCCATAAACGCCTGACTCTCTTCATCCCGTATTATCAAGTGAGATGTTTGCGAGAGAGCCAAACATGTTTGCCAGAGGGCCTCAGTCTCGCCCCCTCACCCCTGGTTATTTTCCTCCCTCTCTCTCTCTCTCTCTCTCTCCCTCTGTGTGTGTGTGTGTGTGAGTCCCTCTCCAGAGCTCCAACAAAACAAGTTGTGTGTTTGCTCTGAAGGTCTCTCCTCCCCTCACACCAACGCTCGCCACATCACAGTCACACATCTGAGGGCCATCAACGGCAAATTCCACAATAATGTACCCTTCCCCAACAGCAATCATTTCTCATAAACAGCTTCATAAAAACTGCTCGTGTTGTTCCCCATTTTGTTTTCAGGCTTTTTTTTAAAAAGAACTAATTGAGTGAAACATACTTCTCATTCTTCCTCCCTGGGTGTTAGTTCTGCGCTCGGAACATTTCAGCACATCCCACCTTCATTACTCTCACGCGACATGTGTACGTTTATTTGACAACACGGCTTTTAATATATCCTCCTCCCTCTCCTCCTCCTGCGTCTTTTATCTGCTGCTGCAGAGCCAAGCATTAACCAATAGCTTGATAACCCTGCTATAAAAGCGGATCTGGAACGGGAAGAACAGCCGTATCTCTGGATATTTTCCTATAGTTGACGCCTCTCATGTTCTCCCCTGCTATCAGTGCTAATAATGCCCTCATAGGTCACCCTCTCTCTCTCTCTCTCTCTCTCTCTCTCTCTCTCTCTCTCTGTGTGTCTGGTTTGCATGTTTGAAAATACAACCCTTCATTAGCAGCTCAGAACGGTAGAAGATACCAGAGAGGCTCAGGAGGCGAGTTCTTCCTCTTAAAGGGTTTGTTGTGTTTCTTACTTAAAAACTCAGGCGGTTAACTTTTCACCCACAGTCACACTCCTCTGTGAGTGTGTGTGAGTGTGTGTGTGAGCTCCAGATCTGTGTGTGTGTGTGTGTATGTGTGTGTGTGTGTGTGTGTGTGTGAGGATGAGCAGGCAACTTAAAAACCAGGTTCATTCTTCTTTACAAAACGTCGTCCTGCTGTTTTCTCAGATTTCCTTCTCCAGTTTGTGCACGTCTCCCGTCACCAGCACCTGAAGTTAAAACAGCTGGACGCAACTGAAAGTGTTTTTCCAAACGTTGGTGCAGGGGAGATGAAAATAGAGGCAACAGAGAGCAATTGAGATTAAAAAAAAAAAAAAAAGATAAAGTAAACTATAAAAAAGCAGCAGCCTTCATGCGCCCAGTCATTACACTGTATGTGTTTCAGATGGATGGGACTACCAATCAGTGTGTGGCGTCTGATTTGTAGAGTTTGGCTTTGAATTACATGTTTGTGTGTGTTTACGTCTTTGAGCTGGACACGTTGTTTATAGGTGTGTTTGTTGTTGTGTCCCTCGCTCCTATTTCTCTGGGTGTGTCTGCATTTTTTTCGCTCTGCAATCTTGTCCTTGGCCCTCGGTGTGTATTTGTTATGTCTAGAACACGTAATAATGTGGAATTTGATAGTGTCTTATCATCAAAACACGACGGTTGTCCTAGAGTCAAACATCATGTGGGACTAACACAGCAGAATGTGCGTTTTAACCTTTTATTTCACGAGCTCTCATCCCAACTCGACATTGTGCTGTTAAAGTTTTACTTGAAAAGATGCAGAATATTCACGTTTATTGACGATTTCTTCTTTGACGGGATTTAAATTAAATTAAATTAAATTAAATCTCTAATAATTCAGTGTGCTGTTTCTGTGACAGTTGCTCAGAGAAGCAGTAAATTGGGAAATGTGTCATGACACCCTCGTTATCAGAAACACATTACATTCTGAGCCCGTCTCCATAGCAGATCCTCTTATCACGTCTTCATTAACTGCTCCGACTATCACTCGTCTTATCACACAATGCAGAGCAGATGAATTTACACGCAGGCGATAATAATCTCATTGTTTGAACACTGATATGCGTTGGTGAACCTGTGATTTGCCGGTCAGAGCCATTAACGCTGTCATACAGCTATCACACGTTTGTTTAAGTGCCGGCTTTCAGGTTGTTGCTCAACACGCCCATAATAATTACATAAACCAGATTGGCATTTATCAATCTGTGACAGTGGAAGTTTCTGAGCTGTTGGGATAATCCTGTCGTTATTTACACGTCGCTCTGCAGAGGTTTCAGGAGTTGAGAGAAAAATAAAACAGAGGAAACACAGGGAAAGAGATGGGATGTAAATCAGTTCATCAATCGCTATCTCGTTCTGTGATCTGCAGGAAACAAAAGCTTATTTACGACATATTCAAAATCAGTTTAAGTTTTTTATTTTCCCTCAAAATAAAAGAACTACTCTCTTACTTCAACTGAACTACAGCATCAATTAAAAACGTTAAAGAGGAACTGTTTGACTGGAAACTCGTCATGATTCACTTTGTTATTCTTTCCTTTTTCTCATCCTCCTCTTTCTCCTCTACTGAAGTTAAAAGTACGAGAGTCTGAAAATACTGCGTTACAAGTGGAATCCTAAACTTCACAGAACTAGAAGTATGTTCTCCAAAGGAAAAGTTCTCGTTCCACAGAAACCTGTCTGATATATGATTACAGTTGAGCTGCAGAGCAGATTATTAATTCTTTTGAGAATTATTTTCTTAATTAATTGACTGTTTGTCTATAAAATCGTCAAATAATCGCATCATAACATCCGAGAACCCAAAGAGAATCTTCAAAAGTCTCATTCTGTCCAACCAACTGCTTGGTTCTCTACCACCCCGCCCCCCCGACATGACGTGGTAACATTTGCTGTCGATGAGGTGGAGGTGGTGGAGGACGTCTTATCTAAGACCATGCGAGCAACGGTTGTCAAAAAATAAATAAATAAATAAATAAAAATGCAAAGCACGATATCGGCCTTTATCTGCTGGGTTCAAAAAACCAAACAAATGAAATGTAATTGATGTGTCGAGAGATGAGATGCTGCTGGGAAACTGGAGAATCTGTTATAATGCGTGTGTCCCAGGTTAGATGGTGAGATGTCGGCAGGTCCTGATAGGGATCGTCAGCAGCGTTGGGGGTGGAGGTGTGTGTGTGTGTGGGGGGGGGGATTTACAGCAGGATGGGACTTGTTGGTGATAAAGACAGATTCTCTGGAGGATTCTTTTTGAAAAATAAAAAAATGAAACAGTCTTCAAGGTTTTAATTCGTCTTTTCTTTTTTTTTTTGCACTGGCTGTAACTTGCGGCTGACGACAGGCAGTGAATTTCTTTCATTGTTCCAATATATTCAGTTGTTTCTTCATTGTAGCTACAACGACAGAGTCAGCGGTTTGATTTATTCGTGAAGCCTCCCTCTTTCTCAGCGAGCCTCACATCGTGAGTTATGACGACCACTGGACTCTGTGTAGCTCTCTGAACTTTTCTCGCTTTTAATAAACTTTGCCACTTGTATTTTTCAGCCTTTGCCTCCCACAGTGTTTAATCAAGCCAAAGCTAATGTTTCTGATTTTGTATTCATTTTAAAATTCTTCCCATGAGCTCTTAATACCTCTGGGATTTCTTTTATCCGTTTCTAATCACGCACAGTGAATTATATACAACATTCAAACTACACACGTGGATTCTGCCTCATGTTGTTCAGCTCAAATTCACTTCAATCACTCAAATCTGGCCAAAGATCAAATTCTGTATCACAGTTATAGAGACTAAAACTACGACAGTAATAAGGCGTATCCCAGTTCTGTTAAAATGTGCTTTTAAAAAGAGCAGATATACAAATTTCACTTGTACGGTCATTAAACGCTGAGCGGTACGACTAAGTAACGGAAACTTTGCAGCATGAATACCACAGATCCGGTCACCGTTTCATTCCTACTGGTCACAAACTCTAATAGAGAAACCTCCCATGCTCCTCCATGTTTTTCCACAGACGGATTCTAATCCCTCTCTCTTCGGTGAGGGGGGGGGGGGGGGGGCGTGTACACATGCGGGCAGATATTGTCCAGGGGCTCGTGGGTAAATAAAAGCCGTCCATTTGGCCTGAGCGAGCTGGCTGCTCTTTGATACTTTGGCGTGTGTCTGGCCTGGCAGCGTTTCTAATGGCATTAGCCGATATTAGATGTTTGGCTGATGCTTCCTCATCAGGGGACAACAACCCATGAGGCTCATACTGTCGTGAACAAACCGTGCATGTATACTGTATATACTCGTATATTAAACACACACACACACACACACGTCAGTGATCCAACACCGTTGCTGCAAACACTGATAAACTCTCTGTCTCTCTTTTTCCCTTCTCTATTTCAGCCTCTTGTTTCTAACACACTTGCTGTTTCTTCCATCTAAGGGTGGTGCTGTTTTATATTTTCCTTTCTGTCAACAAACTCCATGAAAAGACCAAATCACCCAGCCTCTCTCTCGGTGCGTTCCCACTTTCCCTCCATGTCTGTGGCTCTCCGCTCCGAGCCCATTCATTACTGAAGACCTTTCAAACGGGTCACAAATATATAGTTTCACTCTTAAAAGGGCAGAATTACGTCCGTAAACAACTGGGCACTGTAGTTTCTGGCAAACAGGAGTAAACAGTGCGTTTTTCCAGGGACTATTTTCAGTCACGGATTAATACACATGTGATGCCGTGTCGTGAGAATTTCCAGCAGCTGGACGTTTTATTTTGAACTCAAAGTAAACTGTAGTATCCGTGTTTTAATGTAAGCGACACGTCAAGTGCTCAATGATGATTATTCTTTAAAGTCTAAGACAACAACTTTGTTCCAGAGGAATAAGTTCCTGTTTCATTTCTCCAGACTCGTTCTCTCTGGCTGGAGCTCCTCTGGGGGTCTGGAGGAGGATGGAGCGAGGAGGGGAGAGTCCCATCACCCAGGACAGTCCTGAGCGGAGGGGAGGCAGCCCGGACCTCAGCGGCCTCCCACCACCGGGGAAGAAGAGCCGCTTAGAGCTCAACGGGAGCCCCACCGGACCCCGCATACGCCACAATGGAGCGCCGCTGAGACCCCTGGGAGGTAAGCAATGTCCTCGAGATATTTTGGGATGTGTGAAGAGATTCATTCTGATGTGACAATCTCGCTTTTAGTGCGTTTCCATGCACCTGCTCCACTGCACAGTTTGAATCATTGCATCAGAACCCGGAGTGGAAGTGACAGAAACTCTAAATACACACAGGTCATTATCCAGAGCTGCACGAGGTTTCACCAGTTCATAGATATTACCACTCTACACGGATTTCTTTTCTTAAAATCTCAAATCTCACAACAAAAATACTGATTTCTGACTAAATCAAATCCACTTCAAAAGCTAAATGACAACATGGCCGAAGGTAACAAGATGTAGAGGAAGCTTGTGACTTAAACTTCCACTGAACAGACGAAAACATCGAATCTACAAACATTTCGTTTTTTCATCGTTTGGTGCTAATGCAAAGTCACCGTGCCGTCTTGTTACCACGGCTACAGAGGTTAAGTTTTGGTCTGGTTTGTTTGTTGGCAGGATTATCTACTGGACCGATAATCACGAAACCGAATTAATTCATGGGTTTCGATGAAAAGAAATCCAACGTGTTCAGGGTACTGATATTTATCAGCGTGTGCAATTTGGTGCAGGTCCAAATAAAAATGTGGTGAATTCAAATGTGCTTTCATAAGCATGAACTCTACTGAGTCCCACTGTAGTAAATTTTTTTATAGCTCTTTTGTGCCAAACCCAGAGACAACAGCGTCCGGCTGTGCTCGGAGCCAGGATGTGGCCGTGTTGTAGTGTGGCCGCTCTGCAGGGAGAAGCTGGAGCTGCTTCCACACTGTTAATCTATAAGTCTGGGGGGAACTGTATAATACAGGCTCACCAAATAAAGGAGATTGCTCCATATAAATAAGATTTATACAACTCACTCTGGGTTATCGATCCCTGCATTCATTGTGAAAGTTGCTTCTTGTTTATGTGCATGTGTGTTATGCACTTGTCTCTGGGTGTTTGTGACGCCATATGTTTGCAGAAACGTCAAACTCTTGATTTTTGCTTGTTTTCCTTTAATATTTCTTAAATTTGGGGGAAACAAAAAAATTATAAATATTCTGCTCCAGCAAAAGGATTTTAGGGCATAAAACAGAAATATTGATAAAATTCATCCTTTATGCAAAGTTGTGGGACGTTTTCAAGAGCAATAAAAAGACATTTCTGTGGGTTTGGCTGCGCAGTTTGTACTGAAGGATTTAAAGAGGTGGGAGGAATCTGTGTTTCTGAAGCGAGAGAATGAATCGATGTTAAAGAAATAAGAAATGAAATAGTTCAGTGTGAGGAGAAATGACGAGGGACGGGGGGAGGGACAGAGAGAGGAAGGGGTTTCCTGCTGAACGGATGGTTGGCCTGTAATAATGACGGGTTGTCTTTGAAGACAGGAAACTCGACGTGTCTCCTCCAAACCACACTGCCGCCACGAGGAGGGGGCCACACACACACACACACACACACACACACACACACACACAGAGAGCAGCATGCAAACACAACCATACTGATTTACATACACACACCATATGTCCACATTCACAAATGTCTTCGCTGAGACACTCACACCCAAGAAATGCTGCCAAAACACACACCCACTTATAGACACACACACACACACATGCACGCACACACACACATGCACGCACACACACACGTATCTTATTTTAATATCCCAGTTCACTCATCCCCCATACATATTAGAGGGATTAGAGGTTTGAGGCAACATCACATCATCCAAACCAGATCATACAGTCAGCGGCCAAATCACAGGACACTGGATATGAGAGAAGACAGACTGAGGTGGAGACGGAGGAGCGAGCGAGATAGAGCCGGAGAGAGGGAGAGAGAGAGGAGCGCTGGTCGGAGGGAGCTGCTCTGTGTTGACAGTTATATTTCCCTGTTGGGGGAAATTCACTTACTTGAATTGGCACGGTGCTCCAGTGTGTAATTCACTCCATGAGAGCCTGGAGGACTGGGAGCAGGGTGATTAATGAGGAGGAAATAGAAATATACGAATTGACTGATTAAAACAACGGGTGGGATGGATCTGTGTGTGTGTGTGTGTGTGTGTGTGTGTGTGTGTGTGTGTGTGTGTGTGTGTGCTGGGGAAAGGCGGCATATGTGAGTGTGTGTGTGCTCAGCATTGTGTGGTATCCATGCAGGGAAACACATTGCTGTGTGTGTGTGTGTGTGTGTGCCATGTATTATTAGTGCTGGGAAGCTGCCTAATGCTCACAGTCCATCATTTCTTCAGAGAGCTTTAATTAATTGCTAGTTGACAGGTGGCCCAAAACCAAAAGCCTTTTAGGAAAAAGGGTTGATATTGGAGAGGAAGGATTGATATTGGTGCACGGAGCCAAAGAGAAGGAACAATTGGAATTACTGTAACCAGACACGGAGATGGAACAAGTGGCTTGTCTCCATTTTAATGTTTTATCGCCTTATTTATGACACCGAGCTGACGGGCGTCCTGATACAGACACAAGCAACAGTGCACATAAAGGTGTCTTAATATGGGAGGGTGAGAAACCTGAGACGTGAAGGTTCCCTAATATGAATAAAGTTATTACGATATTATTAAAGTTTAGAGTCAGCAGAAGTCGATGTGAGGACACAGCAGGGGAAAGTGATGCCGTACAGGTAGAGGACATGGACGGAGATGATAAGAGCCGACACCAGCGCTAGAAACAACAGCAGCAAATTTCAAACTTAATGTTTGACGTCTTCGTGTTCTGTCTTCTACAAACTGTCAGCTGTTTCCTTCCATCGGGTTCAGTTCCCAAAACCTGAGCTTCAGATAAAACAAAAACAAGTGGATGAATCTTCTGTGATGAGAACGATGAAGAGTAAAACGCTCATGTGTCCGAGGACAGCTGGAGAAGAGTCCACATGTGAAGTCTCAGCCCGATGCAGCGAAGTAATGAGCCACATGTCTGCACAGCTTCACGTGTTCTCTGGATTCTTTTCTGTTAATAGTTAATATAAGTATTCACAACTTCCACGTGTGGTTCAGACAATTGTTCAAAGCCTTTGAAACTACGCCAAGGTTTTCACCCCCGTGTGTATATCTGTGTGTGTTTATCTCTTTGTGTGTGTGTGTGTGATGGGGTATCAAAAGATGAGATATATCATGAAAACCGGATGAATAAAATGGATGTTCTTTTCTTTTCAAACTAATACCCTGATGAAAGTTACACTTGTTCTCAGTGTATATTTGTATAAAGACTTTCCATATCTCCTAGGGGAGCCATTATTATGACAGCTTGTCTAAAAGACTTATTGGAAATGCCTGTAAATGTGCAGAGAACACTTTCACAGTCCACTGAGGAATGCACACCATTTGATTTACATCCCTTGTTTGATTGTAGCTCATTTAGAAGTTCAGGTGTTGTTATATCCCACAGTTTTAAACACAAAGGATAAAGCGATTACAGGCCTGACCCAGTGGAAACACAATCCACATGTCTGCTGTCTGCCACGGATAAACTGTGTCGTGATCACAGACAATAGAAGCCAGACACTAAAGGATTCTCTATTTTCTCCTTTTCCCCTCTCGCTCAACAGGTCTGATGATCCCCGTCTTCTGCGTGGTGGAACAGGCGGATGGAGGGATTCAGACGGACGGATGCGAGGGCAGGGAGGAGCACGCAGAGTTTGTGCTGGTCAGGAGGGATATTCTCTTCTCTCAGCTGGTGGAGACGGCTCTGCTCGCCCTCGGCTACTCCCACAGCTCAGCGGCACAAGCACACGGTCAGTCAGAGACGCCGCCACTGCACTTCTGTCACCATTGTTTTACATAATAGGGAATAATTTCAAAATCTATCTGTCAGGTATTTAAAATAAGGTGTGATTATAGCTGAGTTAAGCTGATTAAGGACTGAGTATTATTGAAGGAGCAGGAGCTGCATCCTTTAGTTAGAGAAAGCATCAGGCCCGAAGCTGCACGTTATGTCATGCTAATAAAACTGTTCCTCGAAGGACAAGTTCAACATTTTGAAAAGTATGTCCATTTGCTTTCTGTTGACTGGACAGTGAATATGAAACAACAGCCCGTTAGCTTAGCTTAGCATAAAGATTGGAAACAGCCAAGTTCAAACTTCACGATATTTAGAGAGCGATACTGAAGCTCGCTGCTGAACAAAGAAAACCTCCCACACTCGCTGCACAGTCAAACTTCAGACAGGGTCCGAGTCACAGTAGTTTGTGACGCCACAGAAACGAGCACTCAGAGACGGCGATGCTGCCAAAATCAATAAAACAAGACTCTTACAGTTTGAAACTTTTCAGCCCTGGTAGAGAAACACAGAACAGCAGCTTCTTTAGATCCTGTTACGACACTGTCAAGTAAAAAAAAAAGCCAAATATCTGAGTTCAAGCTGCCGTCTTTTGTTGGAATAACAAGAGTTTCATGAAGGCCATTATTAATAGTCATGATTTTCCAACCACCAAGTGTCTCTCACTGTGTAAACTATGGTACGACTGAGTCAGAATTAAATATCCTGCAGCTTAGGGGTCAAGACGAGAATGGTCTTTGAAAGGGGACTCTCCCTCTAATCAGTGGCCTGGGAAGAAAAGTGGATGTGAGGTTGTCTATTTAGAGCAGACGCTGCACTGTTACACTGGTAATAAGCACAAGAATGTTTGAAAAACACAACTAAGACACAGACAGAGCCTGTAAAACTCATTAAAGACACAACAAAGAGCTGGACAGGAATGTCTCCGCAAGACTAAAATACATTTTGTGCCTGTGTGTGTGTGTGTGTGTGTTTGTTGAATGTATGAGCGTGCAGTATGTGTGAGAATGTTTATGAAGCAGAATG